TTTTACAGAAGCACTTTTACACCAATAGATTGTCAGGAAATGTAAGATGATATTGTAATGTTTTTAAATCATATGAAGTACAAATAACGTTGAGTAGCCCATTAAAAGAAACATATTTATCCAACAATATTTTACAGAATGTTTATGAATCAACCGTTTACTTCGCTATATTTTCTAAACCTAGAAGAACCCATGTGTGACTGCAGTTACGGTACAGAAGCTACATGTAATTTGTCTTCGGGACTCTGGGACTTGAGGTCTCTAACTAAGTCTTTAAGGTTTTATATTCATGTCAGTCCAAACGACTGTACAGAGCTGTTGAGCATTATTCAATAGTTTTAAAATGTAATAACAAATCAGTATTAAACCGACTACACATAAGTCAACTTACAAAAGAGATTTTAATTAGTTTAAATAACAAAATCTTCTTAACCTAAAACGACTGTACAGAGCTGTTAAACATTATTTAATGGTGCCGAACTGGTAAAATGTAAGGTGTGGGGACAATTGATTGCAACGGCTGTGTTAAAATGAGTGTGTCAAGGTCTATTGTCAAAGAATAAGCTTTATTTACTCTTTCTAGGAAACTTGTGTCTAATCTTTTGAAGTTATCTTCTGCTCTGTATTATATTATAATAAAATCTTGGAAAATCTTTATTTTAACTTTATATAGTGACATTATTAATAGATTATAATACCTGATGAGTAAAAAACATATTTACTCTATAACAAGTAGATTCCGTGTGTTCATCATTACAACCATTAAAGCATAGGACTGTCTGTGTCCCGGGTTCAAATCCCGGCAACCACCAATGGCATTTAGCTATAAGTCATTCGTGTCCCGGTGATTTGGAGCCAACATTAGACAGAAAGTACACCTGTGTAAAAAACAAAAATTAGATGATCGAATTTTGACGATGGTTGATGGTTGACGAAATATGACGATCGAGAAGGACTTGATCTGAGTTGGAAAAGCCCTCCATCAAAATACATACACAAAATATTAGGATTAAATTACCTTCGCGTCTGTCAATTACCTATGTAGTGAGAAATAGCTACAGCTCTTTCATACCGCTATATGAACACATATTCAGGTTTTAGTTCAAGGATGCTCGCGACTTACCTTTCACAGGCACCACGTTACGAGTCTTATTTGTTTGATCGACTAGTACTAATTTATAAAAAAGGTTCCGGTTCGTGTGTGTGCGTGTTTTATGCATTTTTCATTGCTTTTAAAATCATGAAGAACTCTACATCGATGGATAATTAGGAAATCATGTGAGTCGGCCGCGCAGCCGGTAGTCCCGCGGACTTGGGGCTCAAAGCAGCGATGTCGAGGGTTCGGATCCAAGACCTGCCACTACTTTTCATCAGTACATTTCACCTTTGTACTGTACAGGCTCACCACTTGATTTGCTGGATACGTTTCACACACAGGTCTATAGCCTATGTGGACGGGCAAATATAAGGCCAAAAAAATTTGCCAACGCCTAAAAAAATTGAAATGTATTGAAATTGAAATTTGAAGATAGCATCATATTATTTTTTACGACACTCATTATTTCTTACTACACTCACTACAGTCACTCTACAGTAGCTGAGGCAATTTTAACCTATTTTTCTGTGAAGGTTAACGATCCAGATGAAAGGTTAAGATTAATGAAAAGACGTGTGATTGTAGAAATACCCCCGCCACAGCAAACCTGTAGACTAAGCGAATTTCCATTCGCCTGATTTGATTTGCAATTACATCTATTCAAATAACATTAGGTTTAACGAGTACTTAGGTTTGCTGCCTACAAGGAGGATAATAAAGTGTGTGTTTTTAGTAAAATATTAATAGCTTAGTATAAAATAAATAGATTTGCCAAGTTCGATCCAAATATCCATAAACAAGCAAACTACGACAGTTTACTTATTCTCCATAAGAATAACATTGAAATTAAAATTTACAATTTTTAAAATCTTCCCCTTAACCAATAACTAGGTGCAAAAACACTTCAATATACTAAACTATTTGTTTTAACAATTTCGTTCAACAAAATGGTTTGGAAATAAATTACAAAATTTAATTTTTACTATCAAAAATAGGAAAACCAAATCGTCTGGGGAATCAGTCCAAGGTCCAGGTCCTATCAAGAGACATACAGTAGCTTATTCCCTATATGGGAAACTCACAAAAAAAGTCATTAGTTGGTAAATTCAGATTTGTCGCTAACCGACGGACAACTGCGTTTCGTCAATTTACTTCCAATAGGTGTCGTAGCATCAAAGCTACAGGGCACAAAACACAGACTAATTAAATATCAGATAGCCCCAATTACTTTGGTTTTACACGGCTTAGCTTCCAAACAATCTCGTTCCGTAATTCAGCAACAATGGTTGTGTGCCTCTTAAAACATAGGAACCACTGAGCTCAATGTACACTTTAAACTATACCCAAACCCTTTTTGATAACTGTAGTTCACAAAATCAGATTTTCATTGTCATATGTTGAATTGGCAGATCAAATCCTTGTTTACTGACTTGGTTTCGCTTGAACTTTTAGATTGCTTTTAGTGGTTTTCCCATATGGGAAATAAGCTGATTCCGTAGGACACATAGATCCGGGACCGATTTACTTTTTCGTTTTAACATACCCAGATGCCAAAAACACCATCCGTTCAAATATAAAAATATCTGTGAGTGTGCTTACGAGTTAAAATCGTCCATTTTGGATGCAATGCTGGATGAACGTAAACGTAAACCTACGTAAACGTAAACCGCATTGATGACGTGCGGGATTTGAACTCGGGTCTCCTAATACCCACTACATTAGCTACGTCAACATATACTGTACACTTATTAACAATGTCCAACGTATAAGGTGACTCAAGAAAAGAGTAATGAAATTTCGGTTATTGGCAGTATAACTCCTACAATGTTCAGAAACGTGTGGTGTGAGGTGGAATGCAGAATACAAACTTTCCGTGTAAACCTTAAAGGGATGTTGATAAGATTTAAAGTACACATACAGATTAAAACTCAGGTGAGTATACTCCTAGATACGTAACATTTTAAATTAACTTGAATCTGTTGTATAGGTCAACAATCAATTGTTTATTATTCGCTCGGTTATTTGTATATTTGACCATTTAATATTTGAGTGTGTAAAATCCTCCATTACTATGTACCGTACCTTGTAAGAAATTAAAATTGTAGGCTTATATTATAATCACAATGAAAAGAATAACGGGATCAGAAAAGATTTCTTATAACGCATTAAGTCTATATATTATTCATATTTACTAAATAAGTTGGAATACGTAATACAAGTATGATCATTGTAAACTGGTTCTTTTCCGTTGGAAGAATAAATAAAATAAATAACTCAAAATAAGTGTCTTTGTAGACACTGAAAAAACTATTAAATAAAGAAATTTTCTGAATTCTGTGAAGATAATCCACAACCAAGAAATTTACATAACTCATTTCCCCTCAAGGGTAATATAAGAGCCAACTTACCACGTTTGTTATTATGAAAATATGAAGAGGTAAAAAGAGTGATAATATATTAGAGTCAATAACTAAACATGTCATGTATTACATCCTTTACAAATAATGATTTATTGGTATATTCTTTCGTAAGGATCATCGAACTTAAAAAAATATTATTTTATACTAAATCAAAATCGTATACCAAGCTTAATCAAAACTAATAAAAATGTATTCAAAGTTTTTCTGAAATTAAATGAAGAGGTTACAATTTTATCCATCAAATTATCTTTTTTAATTTGCATCACAATATGCATAATAACGAATACAACAGCGGTACTGAACTGAAGTGGCAACGATCTGTTTTCATTCATGTGCCATTTGGGCGAGGATGAACTAAACACAGTTTCAATTGCTTGCAAACGCACCGTATATCTGCATCTGGGGCCCTCTCAACCATCACCCTCACAATTACCAGTAGGTTATTAACACTGAGCTATAATCCTAACTGGAGGTAGCACTGAATGTCAAAGATGCGTGTCGCCAGCCGCCATGTTTGCGTGAGGTGTGAGTTATAAGAAGCCATATTATTGCTATGGCTATTATTATACTTGGCTTAAAATACCTACTTTGTATGGTCGCCATTTCAAAGAATATTATTAAAGTATTAAAAGTATTCAAGTATGACAAAAATACTCACTGCTATACCAACCTAGTTATAAGAAGCCATGTTATTGCTATGGTAAGAAAACTTACTGCTATACCAACCTAACAAAATCAGCGACTCGCTTTTGACAGACTTCTGCCATGGCAGTGCTACCTCCAGTTATAATTTTAGCTCAGTGGTTATTAATGATCCTATTCGACCATTTCATTAGTCATTGGCGTGAATGAAAACATTGTTGTTATGTTGGCAATCCTTCCCGCTAATGCCTCTTGGGTTCTCCCGACAGACGGTTCTACAAATGCATATTGTATTTAATTTCACTTTCTCCCTCTATACATTGTATGGAAAATTATCATCTTAGAAACACGTTTAGAATTTCAGTTTTTCCTCAATTGTTTGTTTTAAATACCTTTTGGTCTTGAAAAATATCTATAAACCTATCGTATAAACTGTGGGTCCTTTATAAAATACTACATTTATAAATAACAGCTAAGTATTTTTGGTTTTTAATGCATTGACATGATTTTAAACAAGTTTTTTTAAGTAACAAAATAATGGTATCATAACGAAGTAAAACTCCATAAACCAATAGCCAAGCAATCGATTATGTAAAAAAATCAAATACAATTTACTAAACCACATTCGTAGGAAGAGTTATTTTGGTGTCCGAGATATAAAATTTGTTAACTTAAGGGTTTTACAATGGATGAAAAGCTCATCCATGATTGATTAAAATATGCCATATCTACGTTAGGTTTCTGTTGATAAGGTCCAGGTTAAGACTCTTGCATTGGTGGTCAAATATTTCTCATTTGAACATTTTGAAAGTTACAGTAATAAAAACGTTGAATTGTGTATTTAAAAAATAACTATGAAACCCAAATCTGCTTTGATTGCCCATTTTGACCCCTTTAACAACAGTCCCTTGGATGTTTGCATTGATCAGCAATAGCCTCAAGTTCGGCAAAATTTCTAAATTTCGGGGGTTCACACTGCACGGTAGGGCAACAGTCAGGATAGTTGGCGTTAGGGTCTCCTGGGATTTCTTTGCACCTGCTGATGTGACATTCAGGGCACCATTCTGGGCAACTGCAAAACACAAGGAAGTGTGTTTAAATATACTAAAAATTACATTTAATCACAATTTTACGTTTTAATGCTACTATACTTACGTGTTACAACCCTTTTCGAGATTCTCAATTTATTCTGCAAACATTCACAAAACATAACCTTAAATGTATATAAAATATGTTAAATAACAAAATAGTTCGTTTTTGATCAGTCACACTGTTCATTATCAATCCCAATCGGAGGCAACTTGAGTATTTTGTCTGTAAACACAGATGCATCGGAAAGTGTTAGACGTATTTTATAATATCCGTACAAAGACATCAGCGAAAACAAGAACGCTCCTAAATTTGAGCCACGTGACACACCGTAGCTTATTTTTATGTGATAACTAAGATTGCAAAGTAAGATGATATAATAATGCAAAGTAATTAAGTGTAAAGTGAATGTCTCGTTTAAGTCAAATTGTAGTATAATTGGATAGACACTTTGATTCAAACTGCTTCCCCCTTAACTGGAAATATGAAATACCTGCAGTAAAAAACAAGTTCTATAAAAGGACTCGACTAAAAGTAATGTCCTTTTATGATGGATCGTGTTAATAAAATAAATTACCACTTGTGTAAACATGAAATATATTAATTTTTTTTTATAAGTAATGAACACCAACCAAAATGTTCAAACCTATTGAGTAAAAAATTTCAAATTTTTAATCAAATTACTGTGATGCAATTTTAAATCATATATCATGATCGTTTCAATATATTTTTGGAGTGGTTGTGTTATTACTTCCGTTGTTCAGATGTAATTAACGATTATTTCCATGGAACTTAGATATTGCATAAATAGCTTAATTAAAAACTCAGTTCAGTTAGCTCTATGTTTTTAACTTTTACCAAGACTATTTAAGAGAGTAACATTATGATTAAATTTATTTAATGTGAATGAGACCAAGAGCCTACAATTCTTATCCCTTGGTGTCTCAAACTATTAAAACTAGAAAAATGAAACTGTTATTCCCTCAAAACTACATTTAGGTGCGTGTAAAGGTATTTAGGTTGTGGCTAATTACACTAATAACTACCATTTAGACTTTATAGAGTTTTGGTCCACCATCAATGGTTTGGTGAGTAGTATTACACTACCCGCAGGTTAGTGGCTAAATCATGCATTTTAATCGTAAAAGTTTGAAACTCCGGGTAAACAATATAGTGTATTAGTTAGGGCTTGATGATTTGTTAAAATCCTTTTATAATATTAAGGTTGATTCACACACACGTCACAGTTCAGTAAAATCAGTCACGTCACAGTCAAAACGTGCATTTTTTTAATGGATTTTCTATTGCACTATCTAGACTCATCCGGCGCAGGTAGGTCAGTCACTCTGACGACTGACGTCAGTCAATTTCAGATTTCTTTCCACCGATATTTTTGGATTGTTCGGACGCCTGACGGACGTTTTTGAGGATAGAAAGTGGTGGTTTTTGTTATTTAACTGATTGTGTTTTAAGCACTGTTTGTAACAATCAACAATATGGACGATGAAAATTTGATAGAGTGCTTTAATTTAAAATTCTTGACTGTAAGATCACTGTAAATATTAGTGACGGAGAGGAGGACAGACTGAAACCAAATGACGGACAGTTGACCGAGGAATACGGATACAACGGAGACTTAACTGTGACTGGACTAAAATATGTGAATCGGCCTTTATCCATACAACCTTTACAGTTAGGATTTATACTGTATACTTAACTTACTGTACTTCTTGAAGCCTATTGAACTCTTTGCACTCGTAGTAAATGCATGTTCGTTTGTCCGTCCAACGAGTTCCTACGGGCATAATCCTGTCTGCGACCTTGCAACCTGCAAGACCTGCCAAACAGTAAAAGTTTGTAATCATTTGAATCTTACACCTACAACAGAAGTTTAGTAAACATTAGTATGAGTTGTGGAGTTGGTACATGAATGAGCAATTCATAGTTCTCCGTTCATTATGGAAATACCGTAACAATGGAAATACTTTAAACATCAAGATTACTACGAGAAATACTGCTCAAAACAGTGCAGTATCGACAGAAAGCCGGCCGCTGGGGCAGGAAACGAGATCATCACGACTGTCAAGAGTGACAAACCTGATCTGCGGAAGAAAGTGAACCTCGCAATAGTCATGCAGCAACGTAGCCCTTTCTTCAGGAAGGACTTTGAGGCAACGCTGGAGTGATTATCAACAATTAAGAGTTGAAGGGTCAACAATCACAATCACAGGTCCAGTGACCATGGATATACGAATCCTGTTTCCTGAATGAATTTGTCCTGGATAATGCTTGCGAACTTTTGGCGTAACTATGTCCTATATTACGTTACTAGTTCGGAAAATAGGTGTTTACCGGACGAGTATAAAACATTCGCATCTCATACCGCGCATCACGTATTTTTTCAGATTTGAGTTGTTATTAGAGGTCCGATTTTTATTTTCTTTGTGTCAATTGTTTAGTTTCATCAAGACCTGTATAAATCATACCCAACTCGATTATACTTCCCATGTAAATTTTGAGCTAACTCCTACCCCCGGATGAGCAAAATTTTCAAAATTAACGATCATTATTGTATCCCCTGATATCTAAGAAGCTCACAAACCGATTTCAAATATATCAAATGCTTAAAAGTTAAGGGGGGGGGGGTGCAAGTTACTTTTCAGGCTCCTGAATACAATCAAACCTATACTCACGGTCATCGTCGTCATCAACGCATGGACCTTCAGGGTATTTTTCGTCTACTTCTGACCCTGACTCATATTCGAAGTCAATATCTTTGATAGATTTCCAATATTCTGGATCATTAAATTCCTTGAGCTCCTCAGCGAAGTCTATAGGATCATCCTTTTCCAAACCAAGTGATACCAACACCCATCGTATAACAGGCTCTGCGAACGCAAGCTTTTCTCTCAATACCAGTAGATAGTGTTTTAATCCTACAGATGACTTATCCATTTTAAAATATTGTAGAGCGATAAGTTATCTAAATGAGCATTCATTATTGCGTTTACTTAATGCGTTGCCTTGAATTCTAACAAATTTATCTCCCTGGGTATACATAATTTAAAGACCAGAAGATTTTAAAGTTTTGAGGTTATTTATTGTGGTGGGTTTTTATTTTAAATTTATGTTTATTTTTTATTTGTTTCCATTGATTTTGTAATAAATTTTTTACGAAAAGCTTATTTCGGTTCTGATTGTAATTTATAAGTTTATTAGCCTGATTATTTAACTTAGAAAGGGGCGTTGTTGGGTTTTTTTTTTACACGAACAATAAATTAAGAGACCATTTTTTTCAACACAGGTTTATACAAAATCAATCAAATCCTAGTATTCTGCCTGAAAAAATATAGTTTTTCAGAACATAATAAGAATCAAGTAAAACTATAATGCATGTTATTTGGGTTTAACACTAATGGTCCCATTTCAGAAAAAACTTTAGCGTTAAACCCAAATAACATGCATTTGATATAGGAAAATTAGTTATTTTGTTATTTACACAAAAACTAAAACAGATACGAAGTAAGTGTAAATGACAATTTTTTCGGATTTAAAATACCTATAAACTGATGTGCCTTTTGACATATGTTTCTATTTGAACAATAGGCAGTAGTGGTGAACCCACAAAGATACCCCACTTTCGGCGTTTTAGAGGCACTTTTAGGGCACTTTTTATAGGGGAAAAATGAGAAAAAAGTGGAAGAGCTTTTTTTGGCCACTTTTTTTAAAGACCCAGCTCTCGACCTATACACCCCTATATAAATTTTCTACTTTTTTAATACTGAAAAACATGTCTGGAAATGGTGAGCTTTTTTTGGCCACTTTTTTAAAGACCCGGATCTCGTCTAATACAAGCCTATATAAATGTTCAATACCATTGTATAACACTATTCCACATCCATTCACAAGTATATTCTCAAAATCATGTGAGGTTTGCGCGCGAACTCGGGCACGCTTATGGCTATGCGTAAACTATGCCCGACTCAAATGAATGACTGTGAGTGTAACCTAATGACCCCAATCAAAACCAACTGTCAACATTCTCTGCCTGTCTGGCGCCAGTCTGTCTGGGGCAGGTTTAGACAATTACCAAATATGTTTGATTGATTGACCTCAATTATTCAATTGTTCAATTTCAGTTTGTTCAATTTCCAATGTTAAGTTCTAAATTAATTTAGACAATTTTGTGGTATATAAGGGGGGCATTCTACGGAATCATCACTAACTCTTCCACCTGGATCTTCTTGTTTTGGTAAGTCTTTGACATCTAAGCTAGACTATTGTAATATGTTGTCGCGTGTCGGATCATGGGATCAATTGGTGACGTAATTGATGCTTGTACTCATACTCTGTATTTCTTTTAACTTAGGAGTGTAGCTAATTTCCCGAGTCCATTTTTAAAAACTTAGCCGAATTGAGTCACTAAGGAACTTGTAAAAAATGTATATAAGTCTATTTTTAAACACTTAGAGTATTTTGAACAGTCACCAAGGAACTTAAAATGTATATAAATCTATTTTTAAACACTTAGAGTATTTTGAACAGTCACTAAGGAACTTAAAATGTATATAAGTCTATTTTAAAAAACTTAGCCAAATTCACTCATGAGGGGGACTTTGAGTCAAAAGTTTGCACAAGTTATTATTTAAAAACTTAGCCAAACTTCACGCACTGGGGGACTTTGAGTCAAAAGTGTGTACAAGTTATTATTTAAAAACTTAGCCGAATTATACTCACTATATAATTTTGTCGAGTCCCTTTTAACATAGGTAACATAGTCTTCTCTATAACTAACACTCACTCTGTATATATGTAGACTCAGCAATCTGAATTGCTAAAAAGTATTTTTATTTAAGATTTTGGATTTAGTTTTGATTTAAAAAATTACAATTGCCAAATTTTATTGTATGAAATTGTTTTGAATATTAAAATTTAAAATTCTGATTTAAATTATTATTTCCCATTAATTGAAATTGTCTAAAATGTAATTTCCACCATATAGAAGATGCTAACTTTGTTTTTTAGTTACATGTCAACTGTGTGCTGCTTCTCTATCCAAAAAAGTAACTTATTTTGTTATTACTATTTTTAAGTGAGTCAAAAATATATACAAGTTATTATTTTAAAACTTAGCCAAACTTCATGCACCGGGGGACTTTGAGTTAAAAGTGTGTACAAGTTATTATTTAAAAACTTAGCCAAATTCACTCACGGGGGGACTTTGAGTCAAAAGTGTGCACAAGTTATTATTTAAAAACTTAGCCAAACTTCATGCACCGGGGGACTTTGAGTTAAAAGTGTGTACAAGTTATTATTTAAAAACTTAGCCAAATTCACTCACGGGGGGGGACTTTGAGTCAAAAGTGTGCACAAGTTATTATTTAAAAACTTAGCCGAATTATACTCACTATATAATTTTGTCAAGTCCCCTTTAAAATAGGTAACACTCACTCTGCATATATGTAGACTCAGCAATCTGAATTGCTAAAAAGTATTTTTTATTTAAGATTTTGGATTTAGTTTTGATTTAGAAAATTACAATTGCCAAATCTTATTGTATGAAATTTTTTGAATATTAAAATATAAAATTCTGATTCAAATTATTATTTCTCATTAATTGAAATTGTCAAAATGTAATTTCTACTATATAGAAGATGCCAACCTAGTTTTTTAGTTACATATATAAAAATGAAGACTACATGTCAACATTGTTTCGCATCGCTCTCCAAAAAAAGCAACCTTATTCGCCACTACAATTTGATACATCAAATGAAGGTAAAACTGTGCAAAGTTTGTAATTTAATCTGTGATAATAATGTGGCTCTAAAATCTCATATATTACAAAGTCACAAGACTTGTAATTTCTGTAAAAGAAATGTTGTTGGTCATTTTAAAAGACACGTAAATTCTTGTAACAAATGTCCATATACAATGATAAAATTTGTTGGTGAATCGATTAAAACTGAACTTAAAAGTACTCTTCAGTCTTGTCCTCTACCGATAAAATGGACTTTAGTAAGGAGAATCAAATTTATAAAATATACAATAGATCAAAATGGAAAATTAGTTAATGAGAATGAATGTATTGCAGATTTCAGAAGCCTTACTATCCTAACCATTGAGAAGAGAGATTTGAAGCCTCAAATTGAAAATGCTCTTTTAAAGATTGACGCTTCCATGCACAAATACCCCCGCCGCAGCAAACCTGCAGACTAAGCGAATTTCCATTTGACTGATTGGATTTACACTGAAATATCTACTTAAAAATATAACATTTATTCTTGATTTAAATAGAATTAGTTTAACAAGTACTTAGGTTTGCTGCATCAGGGAGGGTAAAACTTTTTTTTTTGTAAAATGTGAATAGGTAGTGAGAAATAAAAACATTTTCCAAATTTGATCAAAATATGTTCACAAACAAGCAAACTACAACAGTTTACTTATTCTCCATAAGAATAACATGGGAATTTTAAATTTACAATTTTTTGGAATTTTCTCCGTAACTATTAGGCGCATAATAACGCTTCAATATACTAAATTATTTGTTTTTTTAAGCTCTACAAAGTGGTTTGGAAAGAAATTGCAAAATTTTATGTTTTTTGGGTCAAAAATAGGAAAAACCTATTTTTACCCCATAAAACCCCCCGTAAACCACCGTTCCCATGGTCCGATCATGCTGGATCGCGAACTCGTTCGAATAAACGTACGTTTACACGTTTGTACCAAATTTCATCCAAATCGGATCATTTTTGCTCGAGTTATCGTGCTGACGGACACATATATATATATATATATATAAATATATAAATATATAAATATATAAATATATAAATATATATATATATATGAATTTGAACGGATGGTGTTTTTGGCCTCTAGGGACCTCAAAACGAAAAAAAAAATCGGTCCCGCGTCCAGGTCTTACCATGAGTACTACGGTAATAGCTTATTCCCTATATGGGAAATTCGCTAAAATCAAGCCGATGGTAGTGGATGGATATATGACCACACTAAATATTGGCAGTTGCACGTTTACAAGTATAAGCCCCTAACTCCAACGTCATACATTCCCACACAAAAAAGTATTCAATCAAAACATGCAGTTTTAAATATAAAGAATTCTGACAATAAATGCTTCCTTTGGTCAATTTTAGCAGCTTTATATCCAAGGAACTCTAATGAACATGCTGAAAGGGTATCGAAATATGCACCCTACGAAAATCAGTTAAATATGACAAACATAAAATATCCCGTAAAAATATCTGACATAGATCAATTTGAAAGAAAGAATAATATAAGTGTTAATGTATTTGGAGTTGAAGACCGAAAATTGATATATCCATTAAGAAGAACTAAACTGAATAGTAATACTCATATAGATCTATTATTATTACAACAAGGTCGTAAATCACATTACTGTTTAATTCGTGATTTTAATAGGTTAATGCTGCGGTCTACAAAAGATGACCATAAGAAGTATTTTTGTAAGTTGTGTTTACAACATTTTTACACTAATGATATATTAGAACGTCATGCAACATATTGTAAAAACTTTGATGCCCAACGAGTGGAAATGTCTAAACAAGATACATTACAATTTAAAAATTATAAATATCAACTTAAAGCCCCATTTGTGATTTATGCAGATTTTGAATGTTTTATAAACTCCAATATACATATTCCATCGGGATTTGCATTTGTTGTAGTCAAAGATTCTAAGATTATTTCTGAAGAGTTATATAGTGGTGCAAATGTTATGGATGTGTTTTTCGAAAGATTATTTGAGACTTATGATTTTATTAAAAGTCAAATGGCGATATATATTCCCCTTGTAATGACCCCTGAGCAAGAGGTATCTTTCCAAAACTCAACACATTGTCACATTTGTGAAAAGCCCCTATATTTTGATAGGGTACGGGAACATTGTCATTCAAATGGCCAATACCGTGGAGCTG